TCGCAAAAACGTTGCACGGAAAAAAACACTCTGGAAAAAAAAAGCCAAGGAATAAAATCGTAAATATTTAGGAAAAAAGTACCAAAAGTTATTACTCAGCCGTTCTTGGAGATCATGCAGTCATTATAAATTGACATGGCAACCCTGCATGTGGTCACTTTTTAGCGTCCTCTAGTTGCATACGATTTATCATAGTAATACAATAGGCTATTAATAAATATCTTGGGACCAGTTAATTATATAGTTTATAATTTAAAACAATATCTGGGCTGACTTTGAATATGTCCCGGTTTCCTTTTATTAAATGCGGGAAAAGCACGAGAAAATAAGAGTACCGACACGAAAAACGTCGACAGTGTAATTTGATGTTTTCTCTCCATTGGAACTTATCTAAGATTTTATTGAATAGGACAGACAGATGCAGATCTGTGCATGTTGGTGAAAATATACCACCCATGGACGCTCCTATCATGTGTTTGTATAACAGTCCATTAAACTCAAATTCATTGTTTCTAAGAATTAATTTAACAAATGCAGTTAAATCTATTTTTTTGAGAATCTTTATAGTATATTCTCCTGTGTGTCAATTAATTCTAATGCATTGATATCAGTTTCTTCTAAATTATCAATGACCATATTTGTGTACCTTGACGTACATCATAGGCAATAAGAATGCATTCATTTTGGACTTCGTGTGACTCTATTCTATTAATGGAATCTTTTTTATCTTGAATGTAAAAGCCTCTTCAATAATGGTTTTATAATTAGATCAAGTAAGTATCTCTCGCGGGAGAGTTGCATTTATTGATGATTGGTCGATAACGAACATTAATGTGTCCTGCTAGCTGACCAGTTCGCAATGCCTCATTACTTATTTCTAGATTAATTTTATGAATTTTTGGAAGAAAGTACATGTGTCCCACATGTTTTGAATCATTATTATTCTTTAAGAAATTATACGTCTGGGAATTTTTTTTTTTCATTATTGCTTTATATTTAACACTTCTCTCAACATGCCAAAATTGTAATGATTTACAATAAAAAGAAAATATTATCTTCCACACACATGACCATGCAAACACTGATATATAATTTCTTATTCAGTTGAACTCATGATTAGAATAAAAAAGTTCTAAGGTTCACGTATTGTCTTTTTTTTTTTTTTAAAAGCAACTTGTTCAAACTTTAGTCACTTTTGTCCATGTATTCATCCTTCCGTAACTTTCATTACCGTTACTTATTAATCAGCATCTGTATAAAAGACTGGTTTGATATTTCGTTTGAAACCTTATAGCGTACGCTTATAAGCGATTTCCAGATCTGACGAGAAGTCATTTCCTGTTTGACGATACGTTGATTTTTGCATGATACCTCCTAGCTAATGTCTAATAACGGTTGGGTGTCGTTTTATCAAATAATGACTGAATCCAAAAACGTCGAATCATCAATTGAATATTAATGCAATAACTGCTTTCTGGATATGAATACAAGGATGAACAAGAGTAGGTTGGTTAATGTTAGTTGCTCTTTTTTTTACTTTTATATTAGTCTGGGTTCTTGATACACTATTCGCAATACCGTAAGCGGTCTTTCTGGTTATATTTGAAGTGAAGCTTGCAAAATCAAAAAATATTTCACATGGATTCAAATTAACCTTCATATCCGAAAAACCAACAAATATGAAACAAATACTTAATCAAAATTAAAAGTAATTCAAAATGTTAAGTACAAAAATGTAGTGAAACAAATCATCATTAAACAAATTTAGAAAAAAAAGATGATCAGAGTTAAATAAAATTGATAAACGATATACAAAATTAAAGGAACGAAATAAATGAGAGGCGACAATAAATGTCATCATTTTATTTCAAATATTCCATTCAAGAGGGGGAAACTCATAAGGAATCGCACTGTCTGGCCTGAACTCAAAATTGAAAAAAATACATGCGTCGACAAGAGTAATCGTCTCTTGTTATGGGAATATTCGCTTACCTTTGAAAACAATCAGGTGAATAATTGTCTTATTGGCAATCATGCGACACCATATCTTCTTTTTATAAGGCTGGGATTATATCAAGTGCTCCGTATGGGTATGCAATTTAGGAAAATTGCTTAGGTTAATATGCAAATTTTATATCTATTTTCTTGGATACTTAATATATAAATAAGTAAGTATATCCAATCTAATCTTGGACCACAATTTCTGCTGGTCTATATATGTGACATAAGCTTATAAACGGTTCACTGCATACGTAATTATAAACTATTAAAATCAAATGAAAATTAGATTCTTCATTATCAGCGAGTTCATTATAGATGTGATTCACTTGGAAATAAATATTGATTTTTTTGGCTTAAATTTCAATCCAATAACTACATGTGTGATGATTTTGTATCATAGGTTCAATTGTTTACCTTAGTTACAGTTTGGCAGAAGCCTCATTTTATACATTTGTATAATACTTTAATAAACATAGAAAAGAGTAAGATGTTTTGCGGGTAAACTTTGGGTCAGGTCAAATGCGAAGGGGTGTTCCAAAGGAAACTCTGATACTGGTAACGAGGCACTTTGGTAGAACACACCTCCTTCAAGAATGGTACGGTTATCATAGGGGTATATAAGTAGGAGAGATTCCTTGCTCAGGGTCGATTGTCATACGTTTAGAAGACGAAGACCTGAAGTTACGGTACGTTGATATTTGATATCGTTGTCTCTTATAATAGATATTATTACTTAAGTGTAATAAAGAACAGGTTGGGGCCTGTTAGCAATACGGACTTGTACTAGGTGGAGTTTACAAACTGAACCGTATTGTTGTATCGTATAGGACAAGTGTGAGTCTGTGTGACCAACTTGTAAGGTACATAATAGTACCAAGAGGACAAGGACAAGTGTGTAAACTTGTAGGGTACATAACTGTACCAGAAGGACAAGTTTGTTCCTGACCCAGGACAAATTTGTAAGAGTTGTATATATTTAAAGTAGAATAGTTATAGATAGGAACGCAAAGAGCAGTTGTACATATTTTGGTTCATTGACGTTAATTTATGAATAAAGATTATTTGTTATATGTTTTGTAAATAGAACATTTTGGATCCAGTATCAAATTGGTAACTCATTCTAATATAGAAATAGACACGCTTACCCTGTGAACACGTTACACATGATTTACATTTGGAGGCAAAAACAATTCGTGGGAAAAATGAATTATCTATGAAAACTCCTGAATAGTCTTCGCAATAATATTGATTTTATTATGTTTTTTTGCTTTATATTACTCAGTATCTTTCGTTTATTATTTAATTTTATTTTTAAAACTCGGGTAACTATAAATCAGTTTAATAAGGGAACGTTTGCAAAGTGAAAACACTTTTCGGTATTCCAATGTAGTTTAACAAAATACGAAAACCAGATATATCGCTAATAATGGACTCGGGTTGAAAATTGAATGATTGAATTTACCAGGACGCTTGGATAGTAAAAATATTGATTACTCTTAGTCCATGGTAAATCTGAGTCTAATCGACAAACAAGTATTCGGTGATATTGGATTCTAGATCTGTATTCCTACACCTAAGGTACATTTCACAAGCTTTGAAGAATAAATTGGCAACTGTATGGAAAATATCCTGCCGTTGCTTTTTATGTAGGCTGTCCACTTAACTGATTATATATAAAAATCCTGAACATTTTGCATTAAATCTTTCAACAATGATCGAGTTGGAGAAGTAATAATATGCATAATAACATTTGTTTTGCTCCATATTATATCGTTATTTAGTTTGTTGAGAAATAAAGATAATAGTTTATCATACAGATCAATTCACACGGATGTTATAATTTTGCGCGTTCGTGCGAAATAAGTTTACAAGGTAGGTAAGGGACCAAAAGCCTATTTGCAGCAAGCGTGTCTCCGTCACACAACCACACATTTGTACCAGTTATTATTACCTATTTGCTCCCTTTTGTGGACAAAAACTTACGGATATGTAATGAATGTTCTTAATACGAGTCTAACATAAATGATCCCTATGAACAAAAGGCTTTGTTATTTGATCCTTTTTCAAACAGGAAAAGTGTTTTATTTTTAATAGATGTACATCTTAGACCTCTATTTGTTTACGGGGCCTCGGTGGCCGAGTGGTCTAAGTAGTTACTACTGTAATCACTAGCCAGTCAACACTGAGGTTGTGAGTTCGAACCCCGCTCGTGCGGGTGCACTCGACTCCAGTCTTAATTGACTAGGATTGTCAGTTTTCCTATCGAAGGTCGGTGGTTTTCTCCGGGCACTCCGGCTTCCTCCACCAATAAAAACTGGCCGCCACGAAATAGCCCAAAAGCGGTGCTTAAAAGTGGCGTTAAAACACCAAAAATCAAAAAAAAATCTAGTTGTTTACATACATCAATGGTCCATGGATAGTTGTCAAATTTTCAAATCTACCACATCTCTATTTTTTTTTAATTTAATTTAATTTAATTTAGTAGTGTCGGAGGGTTTCTGTTAGTGTATACATCACATCTTATTGTATATCCATATATAAAGTACAAATTGTATGTACACAATACGCAAGTCAGTAAAAACGCATTTAAACAGCATAAATTTTACTTATATGATCTTCATAATATTTACAAATATCTGTTAGCAATTCTTATCATAATGCTGACTAAATAATAGTGCAGTTCAAAACGGAAAGTCCCTTATCAAATGGCAAAATCAAAATCACAAACACATCAGACGAATGGAAAACAACTGTCATATTCCTGACTTGGTACAAGAATTTCCTTATGTAGAAAATGGTGGCTTAAACCTGGTCTTATAGCTAGCTTAACCTTTCACTTGTATGACAGTAACTGAATATTTGTAATGTGTTGATTATATAATACGCACATCTAAGAAGCGTTAATTTTAGAAAAGGAAACCATTGTTATCGAATAGGCGGGCGTTTAGGTAAAGAATTTAATTTACATATAACAAATTATAAACAAAAATCAATTCATGTCGCTGAATTATAATCTGTCCTGAACTACGGCCCCATCAAAAATGACTAATGTTAACCCAAACTTTCATGATTAATAAAAAAAAAGAGAGTACAAAGCTATTTTAAATGAACATAATAAATATCTACATTAATCCTTTCGTTTTTTCACAATATTATAGTCCTTCCATACGTCACAGTTCCATTTGAAAATGTCTTGTGTTCACGCTTGCCTAAATTTGTAAACCACACACACTGTCCTAAACTCAGTTCGCTAAGATGTGGTTCGACCAGTTGACAGATACACTCTCGTTGTTTCCAAATACCATGTCTGTTATAGGGTGATTTTTGCAAATCTTCCCAGTGAATGATATCATGGGAATAGTATGCAATAGTACACTCGATCAGTTTATCAGCCCATACCTATAAAAAAAATTATCATTAAGTAAGCATAAGTCTAGATTTTATAAGACAAAGGTTAATAAGTTTTAATTTTACAGCTATGAAGGAAACAACAGTTGTGCATGTTTTGCATAGAAATCCAAGTAATAAGTAATATCGTATCAACTGAGATACATTAACTCTATATGAATGCGCTACTGGAATGATGCTACACAGAAATGCAATGTTCTTAATTGGAACATTGAAAAAATCTATCTAAAAGCCCAGTTAGTCATATAGCTTCTCATGCATTGAGGTACTTTTTTCGTATTTATTTGTTTGGGTGTGAGCGTTACTCAAGAACAGATATTTGAAAAAAATCGATTGATGCAACAAATCTAAATAGTGTAATTTTATATTATATGTTAGTCAACATTAAAAAATGAAAGCACATATGAGAAAAAAAAGTACATATCTAACACAAAATAGTTTCAACGCATGGGTGTAACTTTTATAATATGTAGAATATTTAGGTTATTTGGTATCAAATGAAAGCTGAATGACTGGTGATCATTGTAGAACACTTTTTGACTTATAACTTTGAATAATAAAAAAATGCTCGAAATTTAAAAAGGAAGGCATATGTTGCCTGTTTGTCAGATCTGAAGTACCTGTTTTGGTACATCCGAAGTTCCGGGAACCAGTTCTCTTTTATATGTCATTAAAGGTATGGTGATTTATTTTCAGTACAATACATCATAAAGTGTTGCTTTGACATGCACTGATTGTCTCTTTATTTGAACTTAAAACAAAAGAACTGTGCCTGCTTTAAATTAAAGCATTTAAGATAGAAAGCAATGGGGCCATGAATTAGTGGTGTATTTCCTTAAAGCCTTTCAGGGGAGATGATGTGAACTCCAGTTTTTATGATTCATGTTTTTCTTCGCAAGTTCTCATTATTAATTTTTTTCTTCCAATGTTTTATTTATCAATGTGCCTCACTTTTGTTTCATTTTGGAGTGTTAGAAATCTTTGAGTTTACGCTAAGTTTTATTTAACTAAATAAAATATACCTCATATCCATCATCGACATCTGAAAACTCTGGAAACTTATTCCGCAGATACAGCAAAACAAATTCCTATAAATAAAACAGTTCTTAAATAAAATGGTCTTTGAAGTTGGTTTACTACCCACCCATGTTAAACAACTAATTTTGTTCGATTGTGCCGAGTACTGAGTCGGAATTCTTTAAACTTTAATACGAAGAAGTTTAAACGAAAATGTATATATCCGTCAGCTATTCATTTACATGTATATTTCACAATATATTTCTAATTTGACGAAATTAATAAGGTGTTATTTTCATTTGATGTTGGCTTATATCATAACCGTTACACAATGGCTGGATCAATAGAATGACGTCAGTATACTCATGGATTTTTAAGGTTAAATGGTGTTATTACTATGTATTGCTTCTAGGTTACTGTCCTTCCTATGTTTGCTTAACATCTCATCCTTCATATAAACCATGTAGATATTTTTGCACGTATGATTGTGTAGTGCTGCAACTTTGAAGCACTAAAATAGACTTAGTGCTTAATATGTTCAACTGTTTAAATTATTTGGAAATATTATAACATATTTAAAACAAAGTCAGTTTTATTATCTGAATACATGAATTCTTATTACGCGCTTATGTATTAAATGCATTCATACTTGTTTTGAGTGGCGTGAAAAGTAATATTGTTTTCTTGATGTCCGAAACACAGTAGGACAAACCACTCAATACGTTAACGTTGTTGTTAGTTTGTTTCTTCTTTTAGGTTTGTCATGTGCTTGTCATGTGCATGTAAAACGTTGCCTATGCCCCCTCCATTTCCATGAATATCAAACAGCCTATATCAAGAATTTTGAAATTTTTGGTCTTCAGACCTTTATGTGCCTACGTGTTATCTTAGAATTTCTTTTGATTTGTGTGTTTTTAAATAAAACAAAGGAGAGCCCAAATCGGACATTTTTTCGCCTATTTTCACTTATTTCGCATATTATTATTTTGCATAAACAATATTTTTCATATTAAGATAATAGCTTTTTAAGTATACATGGTATATTAACTTGAAAAATATACACAAATAACGATAGTTGTTTCCTTCATTCTCACACAATATTGTATTTAAGTATATTTCGGGATTATTACTTTATTTACAAAATTAGACAATAAAAATTGAAAATATATTCTCACTCTTCAGAAGTCATCACTAGATCAACAACATGTGATAAAATTTGTAGATATCAAATGAATTTTAGATTAATTTTGATGTAAACAGTTGTTTTTTCTATCCATTATTGTTTTCAAATGACTGTTCGCAAACTCTAGAAAATACTAAAAATCATGATTACAGGAATCCTCTGAGTAACATGATCGGAAAAGGTTTTCAAAAGATGTAAATTTTGGAGCATTTTTGCTGGACTCAAATTATTCGTATCTTTTTTTAGCTTTCCAGATATCCAATTATTCTATATTTACTTGTTACCTTTTGATTTAATTTGGTGATAGTGGTCAATATGGTCGATAGACAAATTCATAATCCAAACGAGCTGACTATCACTCAAATCTTGTTTTGCTTCAATTAGTTCTGTACTTTTAGAGGTGCATATTCTTGTGAAAAAATACTCAATTACTCCTATAAATGGTTTATGGACAATATCGATCATGTGTATTATTAATACATTTTGCTTTGATGGGAGTTTTGTTGTATTAAGTCTCAGCCTATTAGTGATAGCTTACAAGATAATTGGCAAAACGCTGAAATTGGTCAGAAGTGGTCATTCACTTTCCGTTAAACTAATAAGATGTTAATTGATAATTTCAGCATAATTGGCATTTTTGTAGATTTCGTAATTTTATCAGTTTTGCTGACTATCTATTACTTATATAATTCTTATGATATCAAGCACACACACTAATAAATCGCCTTTAATTGATTATATAAGAAACCGTCTAAACGTAAGCAAGTAGATAATCCTGTCATTTTGGTAATGTTAACTCCTGTCAGATATTTACATATACTTTAGTTTTCAATTAACTAGACAATTACTGGTTACTCGTTTTAACCCTTGTTTCGCTTTTTAGCCATAGCGACAACGTTGGTCAACAAGCCCCGAACAGAAAACCATGTAACCCGAGGAATCATACATTGGCGAAGCTTGGTTATTATAAGTCAAATAGTTTTATAAAAAGATATCAGAAGGAGTATAATCGGGGGAAAAAACGAAGAATGCCAAATTAATCATAGTCATAACTCATTTAAAGACCAGGTCAGATAAATATTGTGTTGGTATCACCAAAGTCCAAGCATGTACTTACCTTACAAGGCTGTGTATCATAACGAATCACTAGTATTCTCCTTAAGGTACTGATTCCAAAAAAATGTATTTGTTAAAGAAAACAGGTAGAAAAAAAACCACATTAATACCTTTTATAGTTTGTTTATATATTGTACTGTTACACCGCTGTCCCAGGTTAGGGGAGGGTTGGGAGTCCGCTAACATGTTAAACGCCGCCATATTCTGTATGTGCCTGTCCCAAGTCAGGAGCTTGTAATTCAGTGGTTGTCGTTTGTTGCTGTATATCATATTTCGTTCATTGTTTTTTAACATATATCAGGCAGTTAGTTTTCTTGTTTGAATTGTGTTACATTTGTCATTTCGGGGCCTTTTATAGCTGACTATGCGATATGGGTTTTGCTCGTTGTTGACGACCGTACGGTGACCTATAGTTGTTAACTTCTTTGTCATTTGGTCTCTGGTGGAGAGTTGTCTCATTGGCAATTATACCACATCTTCTTATTTTTTACATTTATAGTTGGCAATTGAGTTTGTGATGAATGAACTTTTAAGAACGTATTGACAAGTTTACGTTATAATTTATATAACATTGCCGTGATTAAAGTATATTGGTACAAAATTGAAAAAAATGAAACTAAAACATATGACAATAATGATATATCTAACCTCGGGATTTGTTCGAATGTTATAAGAACAAGGACTACAAGAGTGATAGACTGACCAATGAAGAAAAAAGTTTCTTTCCTCCGATTGTCTGACGATTTAAAATACTTATTACCTCACAATCATTGCCGATTTCCATTAAATGTTGTCCTAAGACCTCATGAAATCTGTTTTTTTTAAATTTTATTCCTTGAGCATAGTTTCACATAATATAACTTCCTTAAAAAGTTTGTATTGAACACATTTGTATACCCCTTTCAAAAGTATGTGTTGATATGAATTTCTAACCATAGAAATTGCTTGACGCGACTGTTTTATTGAAACGTATCATAAAAAATCATACAAGATTCCAGACTTATAATTTTGTACACAAGACGCACGTTTCGTCTACCTATTCACAGATACATAGTGTTTGCATTATTACATAGTTAAAGGATACTTTTAATATTCCAATTGGCAAATTGTCGTAGAAAATAAAACATTTCGATTTCTTGTAATTCCTTTTAAATATTTCCCACATGGTCGTTTCGATATATGTACTGGAAATCTGAAACATATGTATATATCATATTAAGTGTTTATTGAAATTAAAATGATCCCAACAATAAACCTTGTGTTATTTAAAAGGCAGAAGTGGCTAGTTCTAGCTCTTTCAACATTTTAAAGAAACTATAAAAGCTAGCTATAAAACCAGAATTAATCCATCATTTTCTTCGTAAAATACCTGTACCAAATCAGGTATATGGCAGTTGTTTTCCATTCGTTCTGTTGGTTGATAAAGTCTGACGTTTGATTGTGTCAATTTGTATGGTCTTCCCGTTTTTGCATTTTTCGTGGAGTTTGGTATTTTTGTTCATTCTTTTTAAAAAGTGTCGTTCAACTAAACGATTCATGATTGGCCATGGATTAATGCTTACATGTAGAATTATAAACCTCACATTAAGTGAAATAATTGCGGCATTATCCGTTTTTATTTCTAAGCGGAGATGAAACATCAATTGCAAAAGAATAACTGGGTTAATCCGTAGTAGGTTACACAATCAAACTTTTTGTCCTGCCATTTTACTTTTCAAAAAATGTATTAAAACTAGGAGCACAATCTTATCGAACAGGCAAGTGCCATTTTATAATGTTTTGATTTTTCCAGAAACATTTTGCATTTGGCTTCCCATATTTGTGGTCTCGAATGTACTTACTGATGAGGCTTATTCCAGAAATAAGTCTCATACCTTCTGAACTTGCTTTTATTCATATATATATTGGAAAATGTTGTTTGTGCTGTATTTAGACCCCTCTAACAAGAAATTTGTTTTTGCATGCACACGTATAAAAATTGCGGTTTTTATCCAACGCAATCATAGGTTTGAACGTTGTTTTCAATTTAGACTTGTTTATATTTTTTCGTTTGGGCTTGTATTATATTTGCCTTCGGGTTTATATAATCCGTTCATCCTAATTTGACTCCTCAAAATTCGAGAGTCTATCCTAAATTGAGGTAAATTACGTGGCCTTCCAAATACTGTTTCGATTACTAACATCACTGAAGAGACATTAATTGTCGAAATCCGGATATGGTGTACAAACATCTTTGCACCTTTGTTTGCGGTATACCATCTTTGCCGCAAGTTTATTGTTTTCTGTTTGGTATTAAATTTTTTATTAAGATCCATTTATTACACCTTGTGATCCGTTTATTTGGCAATCGCCAATGGCAGTCAGCAGGGTTAAAGAACATTTGTTGTTCGACCTGTTAGTCAAATGCGTTTTGTTAAAATATACTTTTTCACTTTTTTGGTCTTTGGAAAATGTTGTTTGTGCTGTATTTAGACCCCTCTAACAAGAAATTTGTTTTTGCATGCACACGTATAAAAATTGCGGTTTTTATCCAACGCAATCATAGGTTTGAACGTTGTTTTCAATTTAGACTTGTTTATATTTTTTCGTTTGGGCTTGTATTATATTTGCCTTCGGGTTTATATGATCCGTTCATCCTAATTTGACTCCTCAAAATTCGAGAGTCTATCCTAAATTGAGGTAAATTACATGGCCTTCCAAATACTGTCTCGATTACGAACATCACTGAAGAGACATTAATTGTCGAAATCCGGATATGGTGTACAAAAATCTTTGCACCTTTCTTTGCGGTATACCATCTTTGCCGCAAGTTTATTGTTTTCTGTTTGGTATTAAATTTTTAATTAAGATCCATTTATTACACCTTGTGATCCGTTTATTTGGCAATCGCCAATGGCAGTCAGCAGGGTTAAAGAACATTTGTTGTTCGACCTGTTAGTCAAATGCGTTTTGTTAAAATATACTTTTTCACTTTTTTGGTCTTTTGGAAAATGTTGTTTGTGCTGTATTTAGACCCCTCTAACAAGAAATTTGTTTTTGCATGCACACGTATAAAAATTGCGGTTTTTATCCAACGCAATCATAGGTTTGAACGTTGTTTTTAGTTTAGACTTGTTTATATTTTTTCGTTTGGACTTGTATTATATTTGCCTTCGGGTTTATATGATCCGTTCATCCTAATTTGACTCCTCAAAATTCGAGAGTCTATCCTAAATTGAGGTAAATTACATGGCCTTCCAAATACTGTTTCGATTACTAACATCACTGAAGAGACATTAATTGTCGAAATCCGGATATGGTGTACAAACATCTTTGCACCTTTGTTTGCGGTATACCATCTTTGCCGCAAGTTTATTGTTTTCTGTTTGGTATTAAATTTTTAATTAAGATCCATTTATTACACCTTGTGATCCGTTTATTTGGCAATCGCCAATGGCAGTCAGCAGGGTTAAAGAACATTTGTTGTTCGACCTGTTAGTCAAATGCGTTTTGTTAAAATATACTTTTTCACTTTTTTGGTCTTTGGAAAATGTTGTTTGTGCTGTATTTAGACCCCTCTAACAAGAAATTTGTTTTTGCATGCACACGTATAAAAATTGCGGTTTTTATCCAACGCAATCATAGGTTTGAACGTTGTTTTCAATTTAGACTTGTTTATATTTTTTCGTTTGGGCTTGTATTATATTTGCCTTCGGGTTTATATGATCCGTTCATCCTAATTTGACTCCTCAAAATTCGAGAGTCTATCCTAAATTGAGGTAAATTACATGGCCTTCCAAATACTGTTTCGATTACTAACATCACTGATGAGACATTAATTGTCGAAATCCGGATATGGTGTACAAACATCTTTGCACCTTTGTTTGCGGTATACCATCTTTGCCGCAAGTTTATTGTTTTCTGTTTGGTATTAAAATTTTAATTAAGATCCATTTATTACACCTTGTGATCCGTTTATTTGGCAATCGCCAATGGCAGTCAGCAGGGTTAAAGAACATTTGTTGTTCGACCTGTTAGTCAAATGCGTTTTGTTAAAATATACTTTTTCACTTTTTTGGTCTTTGGAAAATGTTGTTTGTGCTGTATTTAGACCCCTCTAACAAGAAATTTGTTTTTGCATGCACACGTATAAAAATTGCGGTTTTTATCCAACGCAATCATAGGTTTGAACGTTGTTTTCAATTTAGACTTGTTTATATATATATATATATATATATTTATATATCGATGCTTAAATGAATATTATTGAGAATAAAAAAATCAATAGTTACCCATGAGCCGATACAACCCATTAAAAAGAAGTACACAAAAAATGCAGCGAGTATTCCTGCCCAAATCGGAGTCCAAATCACTGAAATATCGAACTTTTCCTCATTTGCTGCGACATATATTCCATAAATACCAAAAACCAAAATGCAGTATATCAAACTAAATATAAGCATTCCTATAAGTTCTCGGCGCAGTGTGAAAAAGTCATAACATCTCATAACAGGTTTTGAATTAAGTGTCTGTGTTGTATCGAAACACATGTCCTCAATCTGCAAAAAAAACACAATTGCATATTATTTATTTTCTAAGTTTATGATATATCTACATAAGAAAGATTTAGAGATTATTTATTATGAACTTCACAAATTCATCTCTTAGAATTAAGCTGATATTCTTTCATTATCTTGTGTGTATAATTTCAACAATTGTAATCGAAACCAGCTAGCAAAGCGAAAAATTCTATAAAAAAAACATTTTTTTTATCCGATTATTACTTTATTTTTTATTTGATTTTGATCTGTTCTCAATATAAATATTTGCATTGGAGTCTGACAACAAAAACGATAACAGCCTTTTTTATTCAGTACACTAAACGTAATTAGATCAAGAAGAAATCAACCTAAACAAAACAGAAGTATGAGGTAAAAACATATGATAAAAATGTAGAAAAAAAGTGCCGCCACCCCTCCGATTTTTTTCATTTGTTTGGCATAGGAAATATTAGTTTTTGTTAATATGTTATCAGCTATGCCATCAGATTCACCATTTATTCAATTTTGTGCTTTGAATGCATTT